CCAAGTTTCGTCTCACTGCTTTCAACTGCGATTTTCAAGCTTCAGATGTCCACAACATCTACGACAGCTATCAAACGCTCTCGACCATCTATGGCCTCCCACCTCCGGGACTCAGACGAACCTATCCTCATCTCTACCAACTTTCCCAAGAAAGCCCGTCCGACAACACCTCCTACCTCACTGAGGACTACATCTACCTCTCTTCATCCCTCGAGTTCGAGTACACCCTCAGCGATTCACTCTCGTGGGAGTCATGCTACTTTGAATGCCGACCGACCTTTGGTAGGACTACTTGTCAAGCTCAACGGTGAGGAGATACCTTTTCTGATTCCCCGTCCAAATCGTCCTTTTCGTTTGCCTGAGGCTACACCTTAATTCACTCCAATTCGCTACTTCGACCCATTGCTTCCTGGAAAATAACGGTAGACCCACTTGGATTACTGAATCACATTGCTACTCACTTTTACTGCCAATCTTCTCCCAGTTCATGTTTTACTTCACTTTTCACCTCTCCCGCAGCCTTTCGGTTCTATTTCGGTACGCTCCTTACCTGACTCGATCGGCACTATGGAACTTCAACCAGAAGACGTTCGTGTCCCTTTCAGAAGAATCCTCTCCGACGCACGCTCCTCCCGATGACCTACTCCCTCATCAAGAGCAATTGGACCCTGCTCTCTTGTCGAGCATCCCTCGCTCTGAGAATCAGTACAACGAGGACTTCACCGACTACGCTCGTCAAGTCCACAATTCAACTCACGGTGATTGGCCCGTGGCTGAACCATACGAGGAATGGACCTGTCGACGATCCCACAATCAACGCTACTGGTTCTATCGCGCTTGGTTCCACCACAAAACTTCACGATGACATTGAATATTACAAATCTGCAACTGGGTATTTCATCGATGATCACCCAGCTTCTCATTGGCCACATACTTTCTCACGCATTTGGGGCACCCGGGGCTGGCAATTAGTGCTTTCTGCCACTCAGAGTTTTGACATTTGGACACAATGCGAGCGATATGATGCCGCTCTTCGTATTGAAGAGGAACGCATTGCCGCCGAAGAAGCGCGTTTCTCTTCCACCCAACACCTCGATGACAACCCTGTTCCTCGCAGAGGCATAAAGAGACAGGCTGTGGACAACTTGGAGCACCTCAACGTTCAGTACCAGGTGGAAGCTCTCCTGCGCAATTTCAAGCATCTTGACGTCTCTAAGGTTCCAATGCTCCAGGGCCTACCCGCCCCACAACAAGAACAGCTCATCACTGGCGTCGTCCACACCCTCACTACTTACCGCGAAGAGCTTCATCAATCCTATCGACCAGATGATCCACCCGGCCATTGCGGCCTCTTCGGCTCCTCCTGACCACCTTCCTCCCACTGATCCCATCCGCGATGGCACTGGACTTCCGCTTCCTGTACCCGATTCAGCATCTATGTCATTGAACTCCACATCGACTGAATCTCAGAACACTTTATAATTTAGAGCCTCCATTTCCTCTGGAACGTCCTCATGATTGACAACAGCCTGAGCTCTACATCGCTTCCCTATACCTTAAACCCTCTTCGCATTGCTGTGAAAAGATCCTCCTCTCTTTCTCGCTTGGATGTTTATTCGGATTTTCACTCGGGATTGTTGCTTTTGCTCCACACTTTTTGCCATTCTTTTCTGCAGCCATCGGCTCCGACTCACCTCCGCGCCTGTCTCCATCATGATTTCATTTTCGGGGCTTCGTGTACCTGAACCTTTGACACACACGATTCCCACATCTCGCACGTCATGGAGTGAAGTTCGTCAACCCTTTGAAACACTGGATATGGTGCCGGACCTCTCCACGGTCCGCTTTGAATTGGATGTCAGCTTACTCGTCTACCAACCCCTGAACTACATCACTGTGACCTTAGACTGTCGACAGATCGACACCAAGGAATACACTGTCGACGATCTCAAAGATGTGATCTACTCCCGCTTAGGCCAACATCGCACCGCATTCTGGATGGCTCTTCCTTCCACTGGCGATTCAAGAGTATGGGAAGTTCCACACACCTGCACCCTTGAAGACCTCGTCCTCTACTTCATCAATTCTCGACGGGTACGTCCACTGGGCCTCTCTGCTGAATATCCCCGTGACTCCGTGCCCTTTCCTTACCGACCTCTCCACGCGGTCGCTCCCCGTCTTCATGATGATGCCATTGGTCAACTTCGACTCCCACTGACTGCCTACCAGACCTACCGTGAGATCCGTCAGTTCTCTTAGTTTCACCTTACCTTCGGCATGGAGCTTAAAATCTTGCCTCCCTTCGGGGAGGCGTGTGTGTGTCACCCTTGGAGTCATAGGGCTGCTTTGCATTTGCTTTTGTTTTACAGCAGGGGGTGCCAGGGACCGTGCAAGTCTGGCACTGACAAAGACGCTTGCACTGGTCTGTGAAATCAATCCGGGACGCCGGATTGATCTTATCCCGACCGCGGCGGGCAGTGTTAGCAGGATGTAAAGCAAGAAGAGGGCAGCCACAGCCCCTTCTGGAGGCTCTGGAGACTGCGCCTGCCACGAGGACTGCCAGCGGCACCAGCGGCGACAACGCGCGCCGCAACCCCTTCTGGAGACTCTGGCTACTGCGCCTGCCACGAGGACAGCAAGCGGCACCAGCGGCGACAACGCGCGCCGCAGGCCCTTCTGGAGGCTCTGGATACTGCGCCTGCCACGCGGAAGGCAGCCAGCGGCACCAGCGGCGACAACGCGCGCCGCAAGCCCTTCTGGAGGCTCTGGATACTGCGCCTGCCACGCAGACAGCCAGCCACGAGGACAGCAAGCGTCACCAGCGGCGACAACGCGCGCCGCAGGCCCTTCTGGAGGCTCTGGATACTGCGCCTGCGACAACGCGCGCCGCAAGCCCTTCTGGAGGCTCTGGATACTGCGCCTGCCACGCGGACAGCCAGCGGCACCAGCGGCGACAACGCGCGCCGCAGCCCCTTCTGGAGGCTCTGGCTACCCCCACACAGAGATGTGGGGAATGAGAGAAATGACAGAAAGAGGTGATATGACGACAAGATGAGTGTGTGTGTGTGTGAGATGATGAGGACAAGATGAGTGTGTGTGTGTGAGATGATGAGATGATTGTGTGTGTGAATGTGAGATGTGAGATGACAAGATGAGTGTGTGTGCGTGAGATGATGAGATGATTGTGTGTGAGGGAAAGAGGTCAGATGACAAGATGATTGTGTGTGTAAGAGAAGGACGGAGGAGAGAAGGACGGAGGAGGGAAGGACGGAGGACGGAAGGACGGAGGGAAGGACGGAGTCGGGCGGGATGGCAGCCAACAAAACTAGAACCCCACACAGAGATGTGGGGAATAATGTCGGCTTTTAACATGGTCATATGTCTGACTCTGTTTCATAAGCGAATGTGAGGCTTGAGCAGCTTCGCTTTGGACCAGCTCATGAAGGAACTCGGCATCTACAAACCCGGCACCGTGAGCAAAGCTGCCAAGGTGGAACTATTGATTATTTATGAAAACATATGAAAACACTTGAGTACAGCCATGATAAGATCGCAAAGGTCCTAGCTCGACCGAAGCTTCCAGCCAAGACAAGAATCAAGAGGTGGAGGACGCAATGATTTGATGCAAGGCTGCGCTTCTGAGAGAGCTTCTCCACCGAAAGCCAGAAGATCAGGAAGCAGCAAATAGAAGGATGCAAAGAAGAGGGACAAAAGGGGAGAGAAGAAGCGCCGAGGATCCAACTCAAGGCCTGAACATGCAGCAATGACAGAAGAGGATGTTGAGTGGACTTACCGCCAGGTTGTCATGTGGGGCTTATAACACCTCAAGTCCTGCATTCAGAGCCGTGCTGCCTGCTGATGTGAAGTACCAGGAACAACACACACAAAGTCCAAGAGCTTCCACCACAGCGAACATGCAGGGGGTGGTATGGCTTCATGCAGCAGTGATGCGACCAAGGCAGCAGTTGTGGCATGGCTTTGGCAATGACATGAGGCCGAGCGCAAAGCAACAGTTTCCTGTAGTTCCAGGGATGGCAAAAGTTTGTCTAGCTCATGTAGTTGGAAGGCATCAGTACATAAATGAGCAAAACGCGACACTTCCTGTGGCTACGTCACTGCGTCAGTACACATGCGCACAAGGCTTACTTAGATCTAACAAGAAGCGGTCAGCAAACTGTCTTTTCAGCAGGGGTCATTTGCTGTTACTAGTCAGTGGACACTTTGCCTTTCAAGTTCAAGAGGCACCGAGCTTCCAATAATATTGGCGTATCAGTTTTGACTGAGCATTCTTATCGATTTATTGAGAGCCAAGTAAATGTCAAAACAACACCGAAGGACACATTGATATTGAGTGGTGGTGGTACATGATTATATAAAATGACACAACAAGTACATTACTTGTGTGCATTCATGAAAAGCGGTGGCAGCCTACCAAAATGATTTAATACAGTAGAGTGGGGCTCGCCGGTGGCCCAGGTAATTGATGCTGCTTGGAAGCAGCGGCCCAACTGATTAGGTAACTGAACGAATTCAAATTCAACTAGAGTATTGTGGTCAGGCAGGTCCAAATTTAAAAGGTAGGACCGTAGGGCAATAATAATATATAGACATTCAACATTCAATTAACAGAAATGAAACAACACTTTAATAGCAGTCTGAGCAAATTGGACAAGATTGCATTGGCAAATCGGCCGGACAAGATTGCATTGGCAAATCGGCCCTTAGCAGCTCAAGTTAGCAGGCGGCCATTTCAATAAGCAGCATAAATCCTGTGAGCGTGTATTGAGTCACCATGAGACATACTTGAAACACGTCTAATTCAAAGTGGACGGTCATTTGGCTAACTTGATGCAAAACAAGTTCAGTGCCAGTCCAGCGCAGGTGTGAATGATCACATGTTAATGCACCTATTTAAGATTAAAAAGTGAGCCACACACGTATAGTTGAAGGATTTGATTTGAAACATTCGGCCCCCACGGTTTTGATCACAGCATATTCTCCTGAAGTCTGCAATTGATTTTCGCACACCAGCCCTCAGAACCTTGGTATGAGTCAAACAAAATCATGGAACAAAAAATATAATCTCTGCAACCAACCTCTTCCGTCGAGAGGTCGAAAGCCACTAGAGAAAAGCTCAGGAGCATGAAATCCTGACGGAGCTTTTAGCTCTGTATTTGTGGAGGATTTCATGAAATCTCTTCGGAGCTTTTAGCTTTGAGCGGTTTGTAAGGTCTCCTCATGCGGATCATTCGTCCAAGCTGTACCAGCCATTCCGCCCCAACCTGGGAACTCTGAAGCTTCGTTGTACCTTTGCAGTGAAGGCCAAGGATTCCAACCATATTCACCTGGTCGCAGGGCCTCTCGACAGCAAAAGGGGATACGGAAAGCATCTTCCAAGCTCGAACTGTCTTCCGATTTCCAAGTCAAAATCAAATTGTTTCGCAAACTCTTGCGTATTGATACCATGCCTCATCAAGGTCTGGGTGATCCACAGAAACAGACTTGGATGAAACATGACGAAACGGTTTTGCACACTTTTGCAAAATCACTGCTGGCTGTAACTTAGAATAAGTTAGAAGGCGCAAACAACTGCACAGAACGCCTCGAAAGGTTGTATCAGGCTACATTTTTCTGAGTGTTTGGCTCCAAGTAGACCAAGGCCAACGCCAGGAGAATCAAACGTCCAAACATCTTCTCGTCCTTGAAAAACATTGTCCTATATGCCAAGCCACTAGGCTCAGGCAGTTCCCACTAACAAAACGCTGGGCTACTCATTTCCTGTGGCTCTTGGAAGCAAATTGGATCTCAGCAAGTCGACGGTTTCAGACCTGAGCCGATTTGGTGCACACGATCAGTTAAGAATTGAGCACCGTGCAACTTGTGGGCAATTTGATACCAGTGGCCTGAATTTGTATCCTTTGATGTGAACATTTGGTAGGCCACATTGGCTCGCTGCAGTTTGCTCTCTTTTTCATGGACTCCACTGGTGCAAATCCGTTCCGTTTTGCCACTAGGCGCAAAAGTCGCGATCTCTTGCTCATGCGCCAGTGCAGCCGCCCTGGATGGCTGCATCAACATTGTATCGGCACAAGTTGTACACCTCGTCGAAGCTGCACCTCCCAGGACTTGCTTCTTCACTCCATGACTTTACTTGGAGTGACCCCGACGGTGACATGTCAATCATTTGTCTTCATGCCATGGTGAGGAGCATGTTGCCATGGTCGTGAGTTTTGTGGCTTTTGATTTTTCTTGTGGGTCCTCGGGCTTGGGATTGTTACTTTAGTGTTAGGGAGTTCGCGTCGGGGTGTCGCCAGGGTCTCCAGTTGGCAGCCAAAAGTGCTACCCTGAGACCACCTGCCCCGCAAAACGCCACACACACAGGTAATTATATTGTTGTAGTTGTGTGTTTGTGGTCGTGTCTTTGTCGTTGTGCTTGAGTGTTGTGGTTGTGTGCTGGTTGTGTGTTGTCGTTGTGTGTTTGCGGTTGTGTGTTTGTGACTGTGGTTGTGACTGTGACTGTGTGTTTGTGACTTTGTGCTTGTGTGTGTGGTTGTGCTTGTGACTGTGCTTGTGGCTTGTCTGCTTGTGGTGGTGTCTTGTGCTCGTGTACTGCGGTTGTGGTTTTTGGTTGTGTGCTGTGTCTGTGGTTACGCTGTGTGGTTGTGTGTTGAGGTCCGATAGTGCCAACTGCGATCTGGCGGGTTGAGGTCCGGCAGTGCCCACTGCGATCGGGAGCTGCGCAGTTGAGGTCCGGCAGTTGCGCACTGTGATCTGGCGCTTGCGGGTTAATTTCGGTAGTGGTCACTGCAATGGGAGCTTGCTGTTGAGGTAGTGCCCACTGCGATCTGGCACTTACTGTTGAGGTTGAGTAGTGCCCACTGCGATCTGCGCTTGCTGTTGAGGTGGCGAGGAGCAGGTGGTCCAGGAGGAAGAGAAGAGCTCTGATAAAATCTAACAACCCTCGCCCTCACCTGGCAGGTGGGGAAAAAACTGATTAGCAAATACATGCAAATACAGTAGTATTGACATGTGGCCACTTTCTCGCCAAGAGACATAACGATTGAAGAAGAATTGACAATCTTGACAACTTTGCCGTCATCGTCTTTCACTTCGGTTGAGCTTTCGTGCCTTAATGAACAACTGTACGTGCGGTTGTGAACCGAACTTTATAACGTGATACAGTAGATGCCGGGGCACACAAGGTATCTCAAATCAAAGTGCAATAGATTACACAAACAAATCATAGAGTATCATAGAGTACATCACAGTAAAAATCAGTAAGGTGGACATAGTCATGTCACTTCGAGTACTTTCTCAAGCACTGATCCTTCTCCAAGCCGTTGCCTGAGTTGCAAAGAGTCAGCTTTATGCACAAGATTTAAACAGGCGTCTGCCAAACATCTTGTTCGGTCACCATCCACTAAACACCATGATCAAGAAGAGTTGCAGTACTCATTCTCTGACAGCTTTTCCATATTCTTCCGCACTTGTTCGCACTTTTGGCTTTCGCAACATTCCTGCTTTGAATGACAGGTGTAGTCCGCTGCGAAAGGAAGAGGCAACTCTCTTGAATGAACATCCCGACCTCATCCGTTGTACCTCCAACCTTCTCAGCGCCGGGAATCTGCATCAAACCCTTTGCAGCACTGCAGCCGTAAGTTGAACGTGCCTCGCTTCAAAACAAGTTCAGTCAACATTTTGATTGACGCGACGCAACAACTTTACAAACTAAAGGTGGCACGGGCAAGCAGCAAATGCTATTGCTGGCACCAACGGTGTCCTTCTTTGCTGACCTGCAAAGTGCACTATGCATGGCATACATTGGCAAAGTGGGGGAATCAAATCAACCGACCGAACCATCACAGTAAAAACAAACCAAGCGTACCCAGAATATGGCAGCCAGTTGTCCGATGCTTTGCACGTCCACTGCTGGCAGGTAGGAAGGCAGCACTGCGAAGAATTGTCTCCTCCGTCCAAAGTCACACATTTTTGAGCACTTTTTAAATTCACAATGCAGAATTTGTCCACTGTGCATGATTCTAGTAGCTGGTCACAGTGTACTGCCCCATACTGCCCCTACTTGTACCCTGCTGCCTATGTCATTCTCAACCGCGGGCCACGGTGCCCAACCATCTTTCAATGAGCAGTTGAACTGCTTGCAAGTCGGAAGGCAGCAGTCCTGCGGCAGCGGCTAATTTTAATGTTTTGCATATGTAAACACGTGTGACATCGTGTAAACAATGTTGTGAATCGTTGTGAACATGCAATTCTTCCTTGCAAAATTCCATGGCAAACACATGCCCCAACTCAGACCTCATCCGTTTCACCAAATGTATCCTCCTGCGAAAAGTGCCAAAGACAAGAAAAGGTCGGTGTCGTTACAAAGAGAGTAGTAGTTTCTTGTCACTAGTAGTAAGGCCAGGAGCTACTACTAGCGTCCATATGCGTCCTTGCTCCTAGTAGCGATGTCCTTTGTTCCTAGTAGCTTCTTGTTCCTAGTTCCATATGGCGCCGCTGGGTGCCAGCCTTCGCAACATTGAGCGCCCAACCAGCACTGCAGCTGTGAGCTTTGCATTGGGGCTTGCAGCACCCCTGACGCCGCGGTGGACGCCCCAACCCACTTGCAAAGACTAAAGAAGGGCGAACTGCACAACCAATGCACCAAGATACCAACCAGGACTGTTCTACAACGTCGCATACAAGCGCATGTACTCTTGCAGGTCCACAAAAAGAGCATCATACAACCCATTGCACGCCCTTCTGGCTACCGTTCCCCCCATCGATTGTCAAATGAACTTCATCACATGTGGGGGTATCTGATCCTGAAATGTATGGTTTCTGCAACCCTAACTAGCTGAAGATCAGTGTGTAGCAAAAGCAACATTCATAAACAAGTCGCTATTTGCAGTCTTTCTTGGATTTTGCTTTCAAACTTTCTTGCCACCTCTTTCTGGAGCACTGAGTGGCTGAAAATGATTGTGCGAAATCGTGCAAAACCAAACATCGCCACATCGCTTGCTATTTACACAGTTCTATGATTTTGCTAGTGGCTTTCAATTTTTGCCAATGGAATCCAATTGGAAAACCGTTTGCTATTTAGAAGGTTCGTAAGGAATTTGTTGGTTTGGGATTTACTTTGGATTTGGCTTAGGGCAGGATCCCGTATATTCTTTCGCAGCGCTGTTGGACGGCATGTCATGTTCCCTGGCTGTGGCTAGGGTGAGGGGCGCACCCCATTGTTGCAAACTTTTTAGCACGGTAGGCCATAACATCCGCCATTGTGACACGGTCACAAAGGATAAAACAGTTGCGTGGTGTGTTCCTGGTAGTTGCAAGCGGTTGCACCGGTCGCCTGGGTGTTTTATAGCGTTGTGCAATGTTGTGCATCCTTTTTTGCTGGTATTTGCAGTGTTTTTCTGGTTTACCTGCAGAGAGACTGGGGAGAGCGATACACACAAGATTTGGGTGTAGGGGTAAGTTGTTCTCTACGTTCGAAAGTTGGTTGCGTTGGTGTCAGATGAGCAAGCAGAACCAAGGGGGCATCGGGGGTGGGGTGGGGCGGTGTTGCGTTGGTTTCAAATTAGCGAGCAGAAACGACCCGGCTCATCTGAGTGTGTATCGCTTTCCCCAGTCTCTGCAAATACCAGCAAAAAATGATGCACAACATTGCACAACGCTATAACACACCAGGCAACCTATGCAACCGTAGCCTGGTAGTTTGTTTCTTATTCCAACTGTCTGAATGTTGTCAGTGAGGCCTTGGAGTTTTGAGACCTCGTTCCTTCACGTTTCTTCTTAAATCAGATTTGGTGGCAGGACGTCAAAGGCCGACACCTCCCCCCAAAAACACAGAGATCGTGAACCAGAACAAGAAAGCACGTTCTTCTGCTCTAAACTTACCGTCGGGCGGCTCTACGTTGGAATGGCTCCGCCCAAATCGAAAACATGTGTTTTTTTGGGCGGCGATAAAGGGCACGCTGTGTTGCAATGTGTCGTTCCTGCTCTAAACTTTAGCCTTGAGGGTCGCTCCTTCCTGCTTTAGATTTTATGGTTGGGTTGCCCACAGGTGTGCTCCAAGTTGGAATAGCTCTATTCTGCAATAATTCTGCCCTGCTCTAAATTTTGCCCACGTGTGGACCACACTACGTTGGAACGGTTCTGTCCATCAAACGAGAAACCAAAGAACAAACAAAAAACAACACAACAGAAACCAACAACAACTTGCCTTGCAAAGCAAACTAAGAAGCAAGAAGCAAAGAAGCAATGAGAAGTCACCAAAAGAAAAAAAAAGTAAAAAGGCCGCGCGCAGAAAAGTAAATAAACACAAAAGCAAAAAGCATTAAAAAACTATGGCGGAAGGATGCGGAAGGCAGAAAAGCAAAGAACCGGACAGCAGAAAGGCAGAAAACGGACACGCCAAAAAGCAGAAAAGAGGAGAAGCAAAAGCGGCAAAGGAAAATAGCAAGAAGCATCGGGACCCCCCAGCAAATTTCAAACACTTTTCAAAAAAATCCGGCAAGCATGGCAATCCTTTTTCAATTCTTGCCTTGCCACCTCTTTCTGGAGCCCTGACTGGCTGAAAACCATGTAAAGCCAAAACAGGACCATAGCCCTCTTGCCACTTTCAGGGTTATGATTTTGTTTGCGTTTTTTCCACATCTCTGTGTGGGGTTCTAGTTTTGTTGGCTGCCATCCCGCCCGCATCCGCCCTTCCTTCCTTCCTTCCATAGCAACGGTTCTCTCCAGAGTAGAAGGGGCTGCCCAGAGCCTCTAGAAGGGGCTGCGGCGCGCGGAGTCGCCGCTGGGCCCCCCCCAGCTCTCCACAGTGGCGGGTGCAGTCTCCAGAGCCTCTAGAAGGGCCTGCGGCGCGCGGAGTCGCCGCTGGGCCCCCCCGCGGTTGTGTGCGCTACTGCCATTGTGATTTGCATAGCAACGGTTCTCTCCAGAGCCTCTAGCAGGGGCTGCGGCGCGCGGAGTCGCCGCTGGGCCCCCCCGCGGTTGTGCGCGCTACTACCATTGTGATTTGCATAGCAACGGTTCTCTCCAGAGTAGAAGGGGCTGCCCAGAGCCTCTAGAAGGGGCTGCGGCGCGCGGAGTCGCCGGGCCCCCCCGCGTGTGCGCTACTGCGATTGTGATTTGCATAGCAACGGTTCTCGCAGAGCCTCTAGAAGGGGTTGCGGCGCGCGGAGTCGCCGCTGGGCCCCCCTGCGGTTGTGCGCGCTACTGCCATTGTGATTTGCATAGCAACGGTTCTCACTGGTTCGGAATCGCATTGTAAGGGCCGCGGCCCCCGCGGGTGTG